AGGGGTACCTTTTTTGGGGGTTCCTTATAATGAGGAATACAATGTCTTTGGAATCTATCTTGAGGTCCCCCTATTTAGGGAAACTACCATAGAATTCCTATGAAGCCATTCCCTAACCTGCAGTTGAGAACAATGGCTTCCGCGCTTGCAGTAGCTGTGTCAATTTAGTGATATAAGCCTCCGGCAAGGCCTAATGCCACCCTGGGTGATCCCACAACAGCAGCCCTGAACCCTTAAGTTGGTTGGGCAATGACCAAGCGTGATGCACGTGGCCCAAGACTAGAATCCTTAATGGGATGTTGGTCAAATTCCTTCTAGAAGCCAAAATTCTCACCAACATGTTGGTCTTAGGTCTTAGGCTCCTTTTACAATAGTGGTAAAGTCTACCTCGAATAGACCTCAGAGTTAAGCTACTTAAACCCCCCTCGGCATGCCTAAAACTTAAACCCCCAAGCCTCTCCCTGGGTCAGTGAGGGCCCTTCTTTTTCACAAACCCCAGGTAGGTAGTGTGCTTACAGGGGATATTTTTGGCCCCAACATTGGTTGCAGTATTTTTGAAGATAGCTTTGGTTCAACCACCAGACAAGCCCCTTAACCCTAAACCCTAAACTCTATTAGGATTTAGGGTTTAGGGCTTAATTACGGTTTAGGGGTTAGGGGTCAGGGTTTAGGGGTAAGGGTTTAGGGGTTAGGGTTTGGAGTTAGGGTTTGTGGGTTAGGGTTTAGGGCTTATACCCTAAACCTGAAATTACCCAAAGCTCAGGTGATTTTGGATGCGCGGAGGTGGATAGGCAGAAGCCTCGAGTCTCCGACGCTCTATAGCTTGCCTGAGACGCTGCAATGGAGGAAGGGAGTTTAGGGGTTCCGGGTTTAGGGGTTTAGGGTTAGGATTTAGGGATTTAGGGTCTAGGGGTTAGGGATTTAGGGTTTTGAGGTTTAGGGGTTTAGGGTTTAGGGTCTATGGTTTGGAGTTTAGGGGTTTGGGGAGAGGGTCTGTGGTAGTATAGTGAATTGCGATAACGAAAATACAACGGAAACTACTACAGTATATTGGGGTTGTACAGGGATAATGGCCTCAAAAACCTGCCAATATTAAGGTCCTTGATTCCTCGTATTTTTTGGTATGGGGTACGTCAAACAGATGGCAACATGATATTGGCAGTGATTTAGGCCGCCAGGGTGTCGGTGAAGGTGTTGCTTTAGGGCTTCGGCTTGTAGGGTTTAAGGGATGAGGGAATATGTGGTTGGGCTTAATAGGGTTTGTGGCGTTTTGGGTTTACGGTTCAGGGTGGGTTTGCAGCTTGGGGTTGAAGGATGCGGGATAAGGGACGAGAGGAGTGCACGCACTGGCGGTCACCAGGAATGGGGCTGTGGAGACGGCAGATTTTGAAGGTTTCGACACTAGGAACTGAGGTTGCTCAGCAATTTAGACTTCTGGGGTTCTCAGTTCAGACTTCGGCCTTTCGGTTGATGGAGGATGTCGTTGTGCAAGTAGCTCAGCTATACTAGTTTCCATTTTCCATTATTACTATACAATCCCGATATATTCTATAGTAGTTTCCGTAAGTAGCAGGAGTACGTAGCCGTGTCGTCCTCATCATAGTCGTGGTCCTGGACGAGTCGAGGGGGCCTTCCCTGCGGTGAGTGAATAAGTGGTGGTGGTGGTGGTGGTGGTGGTGGTGGTGGTGGTGGTGGTGGTGGTGGTGGTGGTGGTGGTGGTGTCGTCATCGTTGTTGTTGTTGTTGGTGGTGGTGGTGGTGGTGGTGGGTTGCTGAGGTGAGGGGGTGCTGGTTCTGTTGTTGCTGGTAGAGCTGGTGCTGCCGCCGCCGCTGGGGGCGAGGGTAGCGATGCCGGTGCCGGTGCGCATTGGTGCAGTAGTAGTACAAAGGCCGTCAACAGTAGTAGGTAATAAAACCTCCCGTTCGTGCTACTAGCTTTTGACCGGGACTTGCGCTTGCAAAATTTATCGTTGCCCGTCATGCTGCCATGGCTAACCCAGACCCCTGATTCATGAACTTCTCCCCTTAATAGGGATTATAGTAGGGATCCTAACATTAAGGCCCTTAAAAGGAAGGGGTTCATCAATCATGGGTCTACATTATTGCCAATGTGCATGTTGCAGTTGCTCTATGGTTGGCAGAGTTCTGCGCAATATATATACGCACTCATACGGTTATGTATTTGTGTTGCTGTTCCGTGTATTTGAGAATGTGTACCTGCACACTGTACCCATCCTTTCATGGGTCCGTCTGACCTTGCTTGTTCTACTTATGGGTTTAGGGTAGGTTTAGGGTTTACCTTGGCATGCGGGAACGGATCCGTAGAATGGAACGTATATACTTCTTTTCAAAACGCTTCTCAGGATCTCCAGGACCCATTCCCCCATCCCAGCCGAGTGCTAAACCGTAAACAGTAAAGACTACAGTAGTGGAAGATTCAGGGTTTAGGGTTTGCCCATAAATCTGGAACTCTTCATCCTAAATCCTTTGTCCTCAATAATTCAGTAAGGTTCCGAAGCGTGCGTAGTGCGGAAATCTGAAGCACTAGGATTGACTAGGATTCCCTATTCCCTTGCAATCCTGACATAAACATGGCGCATTGTACACCAAAACCCTATTCCAATTACTTGGGCCTCGGACTTTCCATGTGTATCTCCACTACTCGAACTATCTAGGCAATTCTAGGCCCCTGCATAAGACCGTGCCCCGAACCCTCAAACTCCCAGACCCCAAAACCCTACATCCCCAACCCCTAAGGCCCTCAAAACCTACACTGTGAGGCCCAAATCCAGTAGAATCAGCCGTGCGTAGCCGTTGTATACTTCATGTATCCCTGTATAATCCCATTGAGGCTAAGTAAGGGGGGAACCTTAGGGGAGGGACTTGTATGGCGGGTTGGGTTAGGAGAGCCCATAATGGAATAAGGAAGCATATTGTTTACCGCATATCCATATCTTGGTAACTTCCTTTAAGGATGATCTGCAAAGTATACTATTCCCTAAACCTAAACCCTCAACCCTAAAACCTAAACCTATAGCCATTTTATGGTAGCCTAAATTCAGTTCCTTCAATTCAAGATTCCCCACATCAGGCGCAGGGCCGTTGAGGCCGAAGCAGGTGGTTGGCCAAGGGTGCGGGCGCTGTGGATGGACCGACGGGGGCTATTAGGGAGTTTATAGGGCTTTAGGGCTTTGAGAGTTTTATAGGTTTTTTTCGCTTTAGATTATTATTTTTTTAAGGTTTGGTGGCTTTTGGGTTGTTATAGGTATTTTATGGGTATTTTTAGCTTTATGATTTTAGGGTTTTAGGGCTTTTTGGGAGTTATAGGTATTTTTGCGCTTCAGGATTTTCGGGCTTTAGGTTCTTGGTTTTAGAGTTTTTAGGGACTAGGCTTTGGGCTGATAGGGGGATGTGAGCTACGGTCAATTTCACTTTGGGTTACTAAGAGAGCGTTGTATATGGGGTTATTTTTAGGGGGTACTGGAAAACAAAAAGGAAACCACTATCAGGGTTTAGGGCTATAATATGGGGATCATGCATGGGTTATAGGGGCATATTGGGATTATATCGAGCTTATAAGGGTACATTCGCATTGTATAGGAATCTCTAGGGTTTCATGGTTTTCTACTTGGTTTCAGGGTTTTAGGGTCTTAGG